CTTTATTATTTATGTGCCGAGTCAACAGCCGCAAGGCCAATTACAAACACAGCACATTGTAGGTACAAGTAATTACATTATGGACAATCACAACATAAGTCAAAGACAAATTACATGCAAGCACTGGAGGAAAAACACATTAATGCAGGCACGTAAATAAACAACAACAACAACAATAATAATAATAATTACAAAAAAAACAAGAATGAAAAGATGTACTCAAAATTGTAGCTGACATATCTTCCAAACATGTTCTTTCAGATTGTGCATATTTCAACGGTCCTGGTATTCATTTATTGCTGATATAAATATGTTTCCCTACAAAGATGATGATTACTGCAGCAAAAGTCAAATGAATTAGCCACAGAGAACTGTAAGCCAGAAGAGACAAAAGATGAAATTATTTACGAAACCCAACTAAAGTTCTGGAATTCTTGAGAGCATGGCTGGCCGAATATATGCATGTCTATACTTTCTAACACTTTAGTATAGAGAACTCTTAACTATTCATGGTAATGGAGGTTCTACAGTGTCACATATCAAATGATGTACAAGCTACAAGGAGGAACTTCAAATTGGTGGTCATGAAGAAACCACCAAGTGTGCTGCAGCATGCAAATTCTGCATTACCCAAGCAAATGTCTAATGCAAGAGTAAATTGAAGGAACAAACTGTGCCAATCCACATGAAAAATATTTCAAGGACTTAAACTAGAATGATACAAAGACAAAGAGGCTTCATGAAATGGAAAACCTGGTCAAATGCAACTTTGATAAAATGAGTTTTTTCCTTGAAAATTTAATTTTAAGAGCAGGTTCATTAATACAGTACCTATCTAACAATGTATGCATGAAGTTAAAACATGTAAACAACTGTACAATGAAGAGTCTACTGGTCATGCTACTGCTCATGAAAACAGTGAGACAAATATCCCTCCAACAATAGAAAGCAAACATTGTTCAGTGCCAGACCACCACTCCCCAAAACAATAAAATAATACAGAAGAATGCTGCAACAGGAATACAAGAGGTACAGTCTACTGCAAATCATTCTAGAGCATCAGCCATACATATTACCGAAACAGATGTAATAGACAACACAAATCATTGAACAGTAAAGTTGTCCCTGGGCTTAATTAAGCACAATGCCATCAATACATATGGGGGAGCAAAGGTACAGACCCACCATATGGAGGCGAAGAGTCAGCTTCAAGGCCTGCCCACTTTATCCCTGGGAAAAAGAGCCCCCTCCCCAGGTACCCACTGGATAGGAGGTTGCATGGACCCCAGAACCAGACCAGACACTGTGAAGATAAAAACTCTTGCTCTTGAAGGGAACTGAACCCTGCCCATAAAACCCGCAGCCTCTTGCTATACTGACAGCCCTATCTTTTCATGAAGCTTAATGGATAAGAGCCTCTAAGAATTCCATGGATAATCCATAAAGCCAATGATTGAGAGTCTAGTATAAGTACAAACTTTGTTTAAAGAACATCCGCTATGCAATTTGAACATTCTGTCACTTCTCTCTCACTCTGCTGTTATTTTTTGCCATCAGAAAGGTCACATAAAGGCCCAGTGCACAGAAACAACTACATACTAGAAACTATCTGCAAGAACTGACCTGTTCTGTCTTGCGTGCAACAAGAACACCAATGGTTTTACTAAAGAAAGATGCAAGAAGAGGATTAAGTGGTTTGTCTGATTCCAGGAAAGCATATAACTTCCCAAGTAATGCTTCATCACCAGCTAGGCGTTCATTAAGGGCTGGAACATCACATGTCAGTAGCTCACATGCTATATTGGGGTATTTATAGCGTACTTTCTCATCCACTTCCCCAGATGGTTCAACTGTTGTAAGAGTTACCAATTCTTCCATTACATCTGGTCGGATTAAGCTATAAAAAATAAGATACATTAACATCCATGCATGTGCACTGGAGATATACAGGGTGACTTCTATCTTCTGGCACTTTAAAACCAATGTGACTTTTTACTAGCGAACTTCATAACATAGCATACTTTACTCTCTTTATAACATTTTCAAAGAGGCAGGAATAAAAATGTAAATCTAACCCTGTAACAGGCCGTGAAGGCCCATAGGGTTGTGAGACATTGAGGGTCCCACATTATCTAGACAATCAGCTCAAAGATGACGGTAAGGTCAGCCTTACGTGCCGGCCGCCCTTTACCCCCAGGATGATTCCTGGTACTCATTTCTATTACAGGCTGAGTTGACAGCAGGATCATAGTGTGGCTAGAAGCATTAGGTCAACTGAAAAAAATCAAATGACATCAGGAATCGAACCTGCAACCTTCTGGCTTGTAGCATAGTGCTTCAACCAACTATGCTACCATTTGCCCCCGACATTTTCAAGGAAACTTACATAAAATCGGTACTCTCTGCTATTTGAATAAGATTATCATGATTTTCATTTCATGCATCCTGTTGTGTTATAATATACAACTTCTTTATTAAAACCGCCACAACACAACTATATCGAGGTCAGTGCCTAGTTCTGGCTCTGCTACATGTTTCAGCTATTGATAGCCATCATCAGGCAAATACATGGCTAACATATATACACCACTGAACTGCAGTATTGGTAAAATTGGATACAATAATATTAATTATATAAAATACTTGACATAAAAATACAATAAATTAGATTATATAAAACAAAAGTTATAGTATACAACAAGAATAAAATTCTTCGACTGATGCTTTACATCATCAAGTTAGTCGTTGGTTTTTGTAATTTTGTTGCATTCCCACGGACAAATTGGAATATTCTATATTTTGCGTGTATATAAAAATCTGTTATTGGAGGCTCGTGATGTAGATGAGTAATATTAATGTTAATCTGAAAATTATATGAAAGTAATAGTATTAAATTTTGTTATAACCAACAATTGATTTTGGTATAAATTATGTAACATGTGGTGTTAAGTCTTGTGACAATTTTCTATAGGAATAAGTTGAAGGACAGGGTGTTTCAGAAAAACCCATACAGAACACAGAAATGAGAAACTGTCATTGAATAAAAACTGACTGTACTTCTACAGCAACTTTTACCAGGTTTTGCACACTTATGTTATTTGTCTGTGAGCCTCCAAGATGTTTTGGTTCAAGAAACAATTTCACCACGCATGTGCACAGGTCTGTGGAATTTTCATACAGTTACGTTCACTTCAGCTTGGGGAAATTAAAAAAAAATTACCTCAAATGCAACTTAATTACAGAAGCCTTACTTAAACACAAATGAGTTATTGATAATCAGACATTTCATTCTTTCGATGCAGCATTCTAGTATAGTGCCACTTTGAAATGTACATTAAACCATTTTTTTATATACATACATATTTAATTTTCTTTTACTGTGTCCAATATCTGTGAACAATGAAAACTCAATACTGATCATTTGGTATACAGTTTGGACCTCTTACCATTATGAGCAAGTGTCACTAACAGTGAATAACTGAATCTGAATTCAATGTTTATTCATTATAAGGGAAGAGTTCACTGCCGTCTCAATTATTGAGTTCATCCGAAACAGAGCACCTTGGGAATATCAGAATATCTTTCCTTTCTCATTTCATTTTACAATTTCTTCTGCTGAACATGGTTAGAGAGAATAGACAGTTCACTTTTACAATCCTGCTTGTTCCAGTACTCGAAATACACATTTATGACTTTATGACATAAAAACAATTATACAATTTTTTCCATGAACGTTACTTTGACCAGCCAACACAACTTTATTAAAAATCCACTGTCAGAACACAAACATTTCACAAGTATGTCTGACAATAAAACATATTTTTAAAACAAAAACACTGTGAGCAGTTCATGGGCTGTTCAAAATTCAGAAAAATATCAATGAAATCAAAGAAAATGATAAATAGATTATATCACCATAAGGGCATTACATGGTAGCAATCATAAGCTTGCAACCTTAACCAAAGGGTACATAAAATACAAAAGGTTGTCAAAATGCGGTAACATTTAACTTTATAACTACAGTACTCACTAGTCAATTAATTTCTTGTTCTGAACTTTACACTCCTGAAGTACATCTTCCTCATCCATGAGCTCATGAAGTGTAACATCCTACAACAAAAGATAAGAAACAATTACGTCTGCTAGTATGAAAAATTATTTCTGATGCACTACATTACTCAGCAGTCATCATATAAACATGTCCATGTACTGGCAAATGTAAAGATTCATGACTTTTATAGGCTTACTACTATATTAATATCACATCTATCCTTTTATACAGTGTTCTGTTTCTCATTCTAGTTGCCTGGGTGCTAAGAAATCATTAATATGTTATATTGCTAAACCAAATATTATAGAAATACTTAGNTATTTTGTTATGATAATAAGTTGCAGTCCGAGTGTTATATGCATGCTGTGTTTAGTTATAGCATTGTATCATCAGTTATTGCAACAATGGTTGTGGATATGTTGTAATATCTTAATGACGTTGTCCTCTGGATTAATTTTATTGTAACTAGGCCTTTGATGTGTTCTATATCTGGTGGCGCCATCGCCAAATGTAGATCTGATGAACAAAATAAATTGAATTGAATTGAATTGCTAAACCAAATATTATAGAAATACTTATACTATGAAACCATAACTGTCATTAGGAAACAGTGGAAAATGCCATGTTACGGCTCACTGCATCACTGTGAAATCTGTTTAAATGCTGAAAGACACCAGCTTCAATAGCTATTAAAAACACCTAAACAGTCTTGTAACTGATAAATAATTAATTCATAAATGGATCCTCTTCATCAACTGCAGCAGGCATTCTTGCCCATTACAGTGGCCTGCCTGAAGTACTGTCTTATTACCCATCCACGAACCAGAATACAACAAGAAAACCTCAACTAATCAAGGGCAATGAAGAACAATAAAATACACTCTTCCATGACACGGTGTGCCAAATGCTCATTTACAGCATCTCAATGGGAGATATAAACTATGTATTATTTTTTTTATTGCTAGTGGGGTGGGACTAAGTCCCTTGTTCTGCGGCCACTTCTGGCCTATTGTACCAGTATAAATTATGTAACAATAAACATGAACTTGCAAACATTCTATGTCTCAGCTTTCAAGAAACCTATCATTTTAAAAACATGTACTAACTTCCTTGTTAAGAAGAGTCTCTATATGGGGTGATGAAGCATGATTAAACTTCCAAAACATCTTGAATGCAGCGTGATGGTACTGGTATAATCTGAAACAAAGCACAGAGTGAATAATGGCACCTTCACAAATCAAATCTATGCACATGTGAGTTACTTCACTTTTGTTATGCATGATCTAACAAACAAAAACTCCTTGGCTTTAGTCCGTAAGTAAACTACACCGATCGACCAAGAGTCCGCCACTTGTCAGTGAAGTTAATACCAACTTTAGTGGAGAGAGAGTGTCGTGTGCTCAGCGCAATGAATCCCCATGGCTGTTCATCTCGGTTTTCTAGGCCAGAGCCGCTATTTCCTTAAAATAGCTCCTCAATTATCCTCATGAGGCTGAGCAGACCCGGTTCCAGACCCACTACTTCTCAGAAAATCTGGTAGCACCAGGAAAAAAACCCTGGACCTCTGGACCTGTAGCCAGGAACTCTGACCACTAGACCATAGAGGCGGTCGATCCAACAAACATCACATAAAATTAGAGATTCATGGTTCATAAAGTCAATTTGACTGCAATGGTGTTCATGACTGCTGACAAGGCAATTTAGTTAAACCAAAACTAAGAAGCTGAACTTAACCAACTTAATGTAGGTCTGGACAATGATGCTGCTCCCTTAACAGTCACATGGCTGTATACAGCAATAAAATCAACAATTACACAATGAAATATCCCCCCATACCAAATGTATTGGTTATACCATCCCTACTAAGTCACTGTTGCCATATATGCAAAACCTGGATGCACTACATACAAGTGAGGTCAGCATAAAAGCAGGCTATGCTCAAAGGGTCATGTCCTACTCCTTGTAACAAAGCATGCATATTACAAAACAGTCATGTGTCAAAATGGGGCAAGTGATGTAATCATTTTTGTATAATTCTTTAAAATATCTTACATTTACAGTTTTGTTTTAGTGTTCTGAAGAAATCCTATGATTTCTTCTTCTATTATCAACCAATAAGTCTGTGTATTATATGTATATATACACATATATGCTTGTTCCAATGCCTTTTAACTTCAGGATCTCCAAAAAATAAGTGCAAATAAGTTACATTTACATTTATTTTCACTTCATGGATCCAATCATTTCCCCATATGGATGGATATAAAACATGTCACATACTACAAATTCATGATGACTATACATCATTCGTCCTTTGTCTAATAAAAAATATAATCATGCCTCTCACAGATAGCTCAAGTTATCAGGACAACACACATGGGTCGTGGAAAAACCACAGTCAAATTCACGCCTTGCCATTCCACAATAAAATTCATAACAAAAACAGACATCATACATACTACTACACTTATGACAAGCAAGTCTCAACAATATATAATTCACACACACACAGACCATTTATTAACTCTTAACTTTTGAGTCCCTTGCATGCTCGACAAATTCATCAATTGAGTAAAATACGTTCCTTTGCAAATAATTTCATAAAACAAACTTAAATTGCTTTTTTATCATTTTTTAAAACTGTGATATTTGACGGCAGTGTTAAATAGCTTGACGCCTGAATAATACACCCTTCTTTGATAGGATGATAAATGTGTTGAAGGTATATGAAGATTAAATAAGTCAAAACACTAAGAGCTTATACAAAAACGACTGAAAACAATTCTCTGTACTGTGACACAGAGGGTAACTGCACCTGAAAGAGTATACATGCACACATGCAAGTCTTATTTTTGTAATATATATGGTGTGATCAATCAGCTTCTGGGCTGGCTGTAATATGACACTACTGCAATAGGCCAAAACTCCTCTGCAAGGTGGTGTTGGACTTGACTGAGACGACCCATTTTCCAGTCATCTGAGGGTTTTAGCTTCCATTACTCAGACGTAACATCTTGTTAAGTGGAGATATGTTGTGTCCTCCCTGATTATCATTCGGTTAGAGACAAGAATCCAGTTCACAATTCCACCTTTTTAACATCACTCTTCCTCCTATGCCTAAATATCCCAAATGGTAGCTTCCCTTCTGGATTTTCCACCAAAATTTTCAGTGGTACATGAATTTATATTCTGTTCCACCAAAGTGCGTACAAGTGACATAAAATTTCTAAAATACATGACACACAGCTGCTTCTGCTTCACACTAGTTTAATACAGCTACAGCAGGCCTGACTTAAATCATGGATTCAGACATACCGCAGCTCTGTTCATGTCCCACAATATAATTAAATATATTTAATATCATAAAAATTTCTATGAAGTATGTTCGTTGCAGCATAGGGTTGTAGTGAAATGTTCCTCAATGTAGCATGCAGGTACAGAACACAACAAAATCCACAGTCCACTATGTTCAAACAGCAGAATTTAACGAGCGATTATTTTAACTGCTTGAGCAGAGATGGATGGAAATTTCAAAAAACGTCAATTTCACTTATACTGAAGACACTGAAGTGAAGCTGTCCCTTAACACCTGGCTTATAATAATGGCCGACTGCACAAAAACTGCTATTTCATACCAGCCAATGAGGTCTAACTGCAAAGGTGACGATGAGGATGAGGTGGGGGATGATGGCAAGTATATGTCACAGAGCTCATGTCCTTAGAACAAGAATACACAGATTANCCCATTGTCCGGTATTCTAGAGAATAGAAAACACGACGTTTCGTAACAGATTCAGTTTCCGTAATGTTGTTTTCTCTTCTCTAGATTACTGGACGATGGAAAGAGTAAAAAAACCCAGTACTTCTGTGCATCCAATAAATGTAACATATAGAAAAATTCCCCCAACACTGGTTACAATTTATCATAACAAATGATTACACAGGGAAAAATGACAGCTAATTTCCTAAGAAGATAATGGAGTTTTTAAACATCTGGTCTGTGAGGTGCAGATTTTGTTACAATCAAGTTAGTAGGTATTTTCAGGACTTCCTTTATCTGGCAGAAGGTACGGTCATATAACGCAATTCAGAAATTATCCCTTTTCTCTGCACAAAACTACAGTTTGGTAGATGAGGTGTCATGTTTATCTTTGTAAACAGATAAGAAATTCTCTGTTGAGTGTGTCACACGTACAGTGGAAGTAAACCATTTTTCAGATCCACAACTTTGACAATAAAAATATTTAACACAGTAAAATTTAATTTACAACATAAACTTTTAAAAAGACGAATACATTCTATATTTACGAAGAAATATTTTTAGACTGCTTCTTACAAGCTGTCTGATGATCTTCCCCACCATACATTACAGGATTTTTTATATATAGAAATATATAAAGAAAGCAATCAGATTTAGTCATTTCATTTGTCAAAATAACCAATCAACCATGCAAGAGTGATTATATGATTCTCCAATATAAGCAGATGTAATCTTATGATTCTTCAAATCTATTGCCATATATGTTCCGTACACATGACTATAATTAAAAAAAAATACACACATCCTTGAACCTCAAATGGCATGAAGTTAATTCTTCAACACCCTTTCCAGTGGCGCTCATAACATCGGCTACAATGGCACCAAAAATAGCCAACTTTTCGCAATTAAAATTATTACTTCAATGTGATACGTCATCTTGGATATAATCACCGAAAATATATTACATGAATAATCTTGCGGGATTAAGAATTAGATAACAATTTAAAATGTCATACAAAAGGGATAATAAAATTTTCTGAAAACGTATTTGTGATGAATTCCCTTCCTACACTTCATTAAAGATATAAAAAAGTGTCTGAGTGAATGTGATAGAATTCCTTTTCCCACGAACAAAATTAAAGACACCTGAATTATAAAAATTGTTAACAGCCTTAATGGATTATACCTTCAGCTACTGGATGCTATAGGCCTATTGGTTGAAACGTCTGGTGTTTTCTTCTACTGGACTTCTCTAATCGTATATACAATACTGCACATATCACTTTAAAACACTCGCTATGTTCACAAAACACATAACATAATATTTCTTTCTTTAAATAATGACAGACATATATATAATACCTCTCAAACATGCAATACCTTTCTACATCTTAATGGCGTTGCAAATTCAATATCCCATGATGCAACGCTCACAGCCATCCCACAAATCAAAACAAGTTCAACAAATAAGCATCATACTGGCGCTCAATTCAAATTGAACAGTTTTAATATTCAAAAGGTAATATTTTTATTAAGAACAATGACAACGCTGATCTATTATTTTGTTGTGAGACTTGCATATACGATCAAATAATGACTTCTATGGTGCTGAGTCCTTCTTGAGAAGCCAACTGAAGAAATTTCCAGCATTTTATAGAACCCAAAGATTCATCAGTTTTCTCAGTACTCTGCAAATGGTTCATGTTCTGAGCCAGATGACTCCAGTCCACGAACGCCGTCATAGTATTCCTCTCAGATCTGTTTTAATACTATCCTTCCGTCTATGTCTTGATCTTCCTTGTGGTATTTTTGCTTCAGGTCTTCCTACCAAAACCCTGTTCGCACATCTCTTCCATGCAGGCTACATGCCCTCCACAACTCAACTTCCTTGACTTCATCATTCTAATAATATTAGGCAAGGAGTCAAATTACTAACCTCTTCAATAAACATTTTCTTCTGGCTCCTATTATCCCATCCCTTTTAGTGCCAAATATTCTTCTCAGCACCGTTCTCAAACACCATTTTACATTCTTACTTTGTTGTGAGATGTCAAGCTTCACAACCATATAAAACTACAACTTTTTATACTTTAATCTTTATATTGACAAAGGAGATGAAATATTACGTTCTGAGATCCATAAGCTAATTTATTCTCTTTGGAACAAGGAACAGCTGACCGATCAGTTGAAGGAGTCTATTATTGTACCAATTCACAAGTAGGGTAACAAAACTGACTGTAGTAATTATCATGGGTTATCACTGCTATCAACTTCATATAAAATTGTATTCAGAAATTATTGGGAATCATCAGTGTGGGTTTCAACTTAACAGGTCAACTACTTATCAGATCTGGTGCATTCATTGGAGTAAAAATGGGAGTAAAATGAGACAGTACATCAGCTATTTGTAGAATTCTAGAAGGCCTATGATTCAGTTAGGAGGGAAGTATTGTAGAATATTCTCATAGAGTTTGGTGTACTTACGAAACTAGGTAGGCTGATTGACAATGTCTTTAAATCAAACATTTAGTGAAGTCTGTATAGGTAAACATTTGTCTGATAACTTCCCTATCCAGAATGGTTTAAAACAAGGAGATGCTTTATCACCACTACTTTTCAATTGTGGTTTTGATTATGCCATTAGGAAGGTCCAGAAAAACCAGGTGGGACTGAAATTAAATTGGACACATCAGCTGCTCTATGCCGATGATGTGAATCTACTGGGTGATTACACAGAAACTTTAACTGATGCTATTAAGGTTAGTCTACAGGTAAACACAGAAAACTAAGCATATGTTCCTGTCTCGTCACCAGAATGTAGGGCAAAATCATGACATAAAGATAGCTAACAGATGTTTTGAAAATGTGGCACAGTTCAGATGGTGTATCTTATGACACCTAGAGAAGCAGATTCATTAACACATAACAGGTTTCATAACAATTCATCTTTAACTGCAAGGAAGTAAAACAATATAACTAAATTCGTAATTTTCTGAGGTGCTACATTTTTCTTTTTGTGGTACTGTACATCAGTTTGATTATTGGAAATTCAGACTAGCTTGGGTTATGAGGCACCTCTGTACTTTGTACCAGCACTAAGAGTCAAAATTAGCAGTAGGAAGTAAACTCTGTTAACAGCTCTGACATTAGGCTGGCTTCCAAATCAGTATTTTGACAGCCAAGTATGAAGGTCTAATGTAACCCCGTATATTTTTAAAATGAATTATAATCTGAAAAATATGTCACAGATGAAATGCTGGATTCAGGTAGGTTGGTGTCTTGGTGCATACATTTTCAGAGGCTTCTTACACAGGCACACAGAATATTTAAATATGAATATGATATGAATGGATTGGGGACTGAAATAAAAGATGAACTTTGGGTATACCTATTTTAATATAAAAGACCCTATGTCTCCTTCCTGAAACAATTTATTTTTTCACGTCATAAAAATAACCAGGACATGAGAATAAACAGCTGTTGTGTAATATATTTAAAAAAATCCACACACTACAGAGGGGTCATAGTAATATGTTAACACTTAAATAATTATACAGAGAAAGTAAATTTTGAAATATAACACTTTTAAAATCATATACTAAATTTTTCTGCCAGTAGTATTCTAAGTAACAACATTATGTACTCACATATAGAAGATGGTGTCACAATCATATGTGATACTCTACTGCTTGTGCTGCAATTCAACACCCCTCCCCATTCTCAAATCAAACTTTCATACTGTATTGTCATTTGATGGAGCGACCACAGATGGGGTTTGGATTGGTAATCGGATTTACTGAACTGTTTAACATACAATTAGTGATTACATTTTATAAATCACTGTCACACACAGTTTAGTGTTCTCAGTCTGTTACAGTCTCCACTAGCTGTAGCTTGGTAGCAGCTTCCAATGGCAGATGCTCCCAAACTATCCCCGGCCTCAGCTACCAGATTCTCACAGTAACAGCGCACAATAACTAAACTGCAGCTCTCTGGCTAACTCACTAACTCACCAACCAACTCTTCACTTCCTGATGATGTCCACTGACTCCTCAGGTCAAAGTCAAAGATACTTTACAATTGGCGGTTTAAAGCCAATCAGCTTGTGTGGGTGCCAAGACCAACTAGCTGTTGCTTTTTTTTTTCTTTTAATTTAGAGGGGGTGGGTTTCCCCATGCACTTAGATCAGTTATTGGTCCAATTTGGGTCCCCCTTTAATTTCTACTGTTGCCATACCCTACCGGTACTGGTGCGTGCTATCAGCCCTGTCCAGCCAGCGAGGTCAGCCCTCGGTACCTGATATTTCCCCCATCTACCAGAGGCATTGGAAACTACTTGGGCAGGAAAAGTGTTGCCTAATTTTGCTCAGAGGTCTCCTAGAGACATAAGGATTTTTTATGTGCCGTAAATCTATGACTCGGGACCCACGGCTTAAAGTCTCTCCCGGAGGACTTGTTCCCTGAATTTTCCTTAAAAATTCCACGACCTCTGCTGAGTTTGAACCCATGTACCTTGAGTCATGAGGTGGGAACGTTACCCCTAGATTACGGAGGCCGCTTAGCTGTTGCTTGGTAGCAGCTTCCAATGGCAGATGCTCCCAAACTATCCCCGGGTTTACATGCCACAGTATTTTGAGTGTCATTCAGTTTACAAATGTTCACTTCCAATTTCTGAATATGTTTGAAAATTACCTCCATTTAATATGCACAACTGCTTCAATCACCATAAAATGTTCAGAAGCTCTGTAAAAATTTTTCTAGGTATCATTTGATATCTGAAGAAATTTTAACTTTATACAATCCATCATAATTTTAATTTATTACAGATATGCAGAAATCTCACCATACAAAAAAGCATGAAAATGTCCAGTTGATTCCAGCCATTATGAATACTGAGAATTTTATTTCTTTCAGAAGCAGTGGAATTGTATATAGATACAAACACCTTTGATCATGCAGTCTTGCCAAGATATTGCCACACTTTATTGTCAGTCATGGAAGCATCAATGTGAGCATCCAATCTCAGCCTACATAGTAGGAAATTTAATAACATGCAATTACTTTCGGTGGCATGATATTAATTCCAAGTTTCATGACGATAGATAGCAGAGGACAAATGAAAGGACAGTAACAGGGCTCTGAAGAAGGAATGAATGTCTTCATACCATGAGTAGGTAAAGAATAATTTAAGCATTTACCATCAGGGTCCAAACATTGTGACTATCCTGCTGAATATTTTATGTTTCATGCTTTGAACTTTCTATGTATTCATTAAACATACGATCATGAAATATTCCTTGTGTGAAAATTGTATAATTTGTCATATCTTTCACTGCAAAAGTACATTAAAGTTCTTTTTTTAGTAGAGTACACTTCGTCACAGTTTCTTGAATACAATTTCTGATACAGTGAGAGTGAACTAATGCAATAATTGATACCGGCAAAACAAAATATCATCTTTTATACAGGTCTAGTGATCAAGCTGGTACATACCAGGTCAAGCAGCTCAATGATCGCACTGCTTATGGTTTAAGCACTCAAGTATTAAAGAAATAAAAAATACGGATACTCATTTTATTTATAAATTCTCTTGCATGTGCAACATCACTGGCAGGCAGCTGCTGTTTCCTCCTTGCAATGAGAAAATTTTTGTGGGATTTTTATACATGTAAAATTACATATTATTTTGCTCAATGACTGTTTTCTCACTGACTTTACACATAATCAACGATTATTTTGCCAACTGTTTTGTTTTGTGTGTCATAATAACTGCAGGGAAGAACACTAATTGTTGATATTTCAAAGTGAAGGGGTTAAACAAATATTTCAATCTAAGAATGAAGTAGGCCTTTTGGTCTACTAATTAGTAAGTTACACCTCTGTGCACCAATGAGCCACTTGTGTAGCATATGTTGTCCTACTTGATGAAGCTCAAATTCTGCCATTACAGACATGTCTCGCAAATTTCACCTACATTACACAACAGGATGAAGGGGGAAAGGAAACCAGGGAGCAGAAGTTTGTGAAAGTATTACATATGTTTATTAACTACTTCCACTAACACAGCCCTTCTTGGGAAGCATGCAACTGCTCAGATGTTCAAGCATCTGCCACTGCGCCATATTATACCACTCAATTTTACCTCCGTCACTTTCAAAGACTTCTATGAACAGACATTTGGTAAGGCAAAACTGCCCCTGAATGTCAATTCTTTTTAACTTGCATGACAAAATAGCTCCAGAAATCTAATTACATTACATTCCATGGATCCAAAGTTAGTCAAAATGACTGCAGGATGTGGAATATGTTGTATAAATACAAAGCATATGTACAGACCCAATGGAGTTCTCACACAAGAGAAACCAAGAATACACAGTGACTATAGACAAGGCTATTTAAAGATACAGA